TTGCAAATTTTACTCAATATTATATCATGAATATTTCCTCAAGTCAAAAAGAAATAATTAAATACCTCTTTTGGCATAGATTTTAAACATTCCACTATATTTATTTAATCAGCATGCCAATATTAAACCAATGAAAAGCTTTGAATATTTTACTAACATAAAAGTACTACTACTAATAATCTTTTACAAAAATATTTTTCCATAGTTCTGATTATTTCCTTGGGATAGATTTCAATAAGTGAAATGAATAGGTCAAAGCGGAATTAGTAAAAGTCATGATTTAGCAGAAGAACTGAGGCTCTTCAAAGACTGCCCCATAGCAGCCATCTGAGAGTGTTCTTCACACCATAACTTTGCTAAGACTGAGAACTGTGAGAACTTCTTTGTATGTTTGATAGGAGGAAAATGTATATTTTTAAAAGTTTATTTATTGAGAAAGTAGGGGGATACCCTTGACAGGGTTTCACTATGTTATAATCTTCCCTCAGTCTTACAATCAGCCAGGATTGCAGGTGCACACAAGCATGCCCAGTGTGTCCTGCTCAACCCAAGATCCAAACCTGGGCCTCCTTTGTGACTCCAGTATCATATGACAGTGCCCTATCATCGGTACCACTGCATCTGGGCCAGACAAGTGGCACTTCATTGGCTGGAGTTTTGCTCCTATATGTATGTGTATACATATATACACACACACATATATATACACACACACATCGCATATACTTTTTAATAAACACCAGAGTTAAAATTGTCTGCCATTTTCAATGTGTAGGCTATGAAGTAGGGTCCGCCAGATGTTTATTGGGGTCTTGAATCAGGTAACTTCAGTTGCCAGCAGACATGCTTTTAATGAATATATTCAGTTTTATTTTAATTATTTTCTTCTCCATTATATTATGATTATATTTATTAAAATGTGATTATTTATATATTAACTCTAATAATAAAATTGACATGTCAATTAAAAATTTTTCTGCAATTAAATTTAATTTTTTAATGAGACTATTTTTATACCTCTGAGCTTAGACCATCTCCTTCCATTCTGAGACAAACTGTATTTTTATTTTTAACCTATATTTTTTGAGGGGTTTTATGGTATTATATTTTACATTTAAATCCTTAATTCATCTGAGATTTATTTTGGTGCATATTTTAAGATGAAGACTACATTTATTGATATTAAAATAGCTGTGCTTTCCTTTCGATTTTGGTTTATGCTAATGTCTTTGCCCACACCCCTCCAGCTTAGTACCTTTGTCTTCTCACCGTGGGCTTCACACTGCCCTTACCAGTCTCATCACTCGTTACTCTCTCTTACTATTGCTATTGCCAATTTACCTTCTTAATTTGTAGCTATATGAATATCAATCCCCATCCCCCACACCCTAGAGGATGAACCCTGAGTGTGCCATTTGAGGTCCTCTGCTTAGCTTCCCAAAGTTACCCATGATTAGGGTTACCATCCCAGCTACCCTGCGAGAATGATCATTCTGATAGCAACATTATACATTCCTTATCTCAATAAGCCATCTTTGATGTCTCAGGAAAGTCACTCCTCATGGGAAAGATGGTCTAGAAAAACATATGGCAAATTTTCTATTCCCTATTTTCACAGGCTTTCCGAGAGACAGATTAGTGAGTGGGCATTTCAGTTGACTTCCAGATTATCGGAGTCGAAGAAAATCAACTGCTTTTCCAATAGTCATTTCAGACTCCTACCCTCTTCCAGGAAACTTCCCAATTCATGTCACATAAGTTCATTACTTCCGTTCTCCGTTGGTCATTCCTCATGTATTCAGTTGGCACTAAATTATTGACATTTTCTTTTGTTCTTTTTCAAGTGATCCCTAGGTATCTGCATGCTTTGTCTTAAAGGACAGGAGAACGGGAAGGAAATTTATAATCATTTAGCTCAGCCCTCATTTTATAGTTGCAGCAACTGAGGCTGGAGAGGAAGAACTGGCCCAAGGCTGGGGAGCTCCTCAGCAGCCTCCTGACAGCTCCCTCTCCACTCCCTGACATGCTGGCTTTCCTTTAGTTCCACCTGAGGCCTCTTTTCTTCTCCCTCTGTATGCTGTCCCTGAGTGATGCCACCCACCTATAATTCCAAACCTGTTCCTCCTCTTGAGCTTTTCCTCTGGGCTCCAGATGGGTGTGCTTGCCTACTCAGTCAGTAACTTCCCTGTGTGTCCGAGCAGCGTCTCAACGCATGGGTTCAGAACAGAACCCCCCACCCCCATCACCTTACTCTCCCCACTTGCTCCTGCTCCTGTGTTCTTCTAGCATCTGGTCTCACCCAATGAATGACCTAGATTAGAAGTGACTTTAGAAATGGTCTCTCAGGGTCAGCAGGTGATGAGGTGGTTAAGGTGCTGAATTCTCTCATGGCTGACCACAGGGTATGTCTTAGATCTAGTGGCTTGAAAATTACACCAGGCATGAGTGTATGCAATCTGGAGAGGAGAGTAGGGAAGGGACTGTGGTGTGTCCATCCCCCTGGGGAGGTGATTTCTCACTTTCCCTCTCTCTGTCTCTTTCTCTGGTGAATGCACATGCCTTATGGCAAAAAACTTTAAAAAAGTCTCTCTTCCTTGTCCCCTTGCCCCATATCCAGTCAAGGTTAGGCAGTGTCCACCTCCAGCACAGCTCTTGACTCTCTGATGTTGCTTAGCCCCCAGTGCTGACACTCTGGCCCAGGCTCCATC